AGAGAAGAAGAGGATAGAGAGAGAGAGAGAGAGGAGATAGAAGAGAGAGATAGAGATAGAGATAGAGGAGTACGAACGATCGATAGAGCGTAGACAGAGATATCTAGAGAATACTCTCCTAGAGAGCTACCACTCGCGCCTCTTCCTCTTCTCTCTCGAGAGAACTGCCCTGCTCTGCTGCAGTGGAGAGAAGTGAGGGGAGAGACTGCAGTCTCTGCTTATGGGAGAAATAAGTAGATATTACCACGGCACTGAAACGTTAGCCCAACGAGCCTGATTATTGGATGGGTCACCCAGCCAGTGGGAACATCACATTAGACTGGTAATACTTTCTACCTCTCTCTCATTTCCTCCCTGGAAATGATAACCGGCAGGTAATATAGACATGCAGATCATTTAATGAGAACTAGCAGGGAATATGGACATGCAGATCATTGAAGGACAACTTTGATACTGATTTCGTTTTTTATTATACAGAGTGTCAAATGATTGTCAAATGATTCTTCTGTCGTGTGAAGATTTGAACCACGAATGTGCAAATCATTGGAAGATTCGAGGGGTTTGTATTGGGTTTGTATGGTGTGTTTCTGGGGCTTTAGGTTTGTGACTAGCTAAGTGGAGCTGTCCAGAGCTGAACTGCAGAAATGTAGAAACTGGTATCTAAGTGCTGAGAGTCCCTGCTGTACCTGCAAGGTTGAGGTACTGTACATACCACTGCTATAGATAGGATGGATAGCTTTCTCTTCTTGTCTCTGTAGCCTTACAGTCGCTATACAAGATGAGAGTGAGACGAGGGCTATTATACTATGATGGAATATAGCCTGTTGGAATTGCTGTTATGACTGTTATTAAAAGTGTGATGTCCATTTGTTTGGCAGGAATCATTTTAATTTGTCATATAATTCTCCTTATCTGTTAAGATTGGCATAGTGATTATGAACTGATACGCAAAACGACACCGGATTCAAAATGTAGGATTAGAAAGTTATAATCTATCTGCAACATTAAAGCAGATCTTTAAAAAAAAGAAAAAATAATAATTAAAAAAGAAAAAATAATAATTAAAAAAGAAAAAATAGATTGGCATATATCAATAAATGAGAGAGAGTACAGTGTAAACAGCTGTGTCTCTACTAGACATTTTCATTCTGTCTGTGATGTCAAACAATTAGTAATTCGATTGGTCCGACCCCAAACTCCATTGACTAGCATGGCCTCAGGCAGGCTGTAAGGTTTCAGACAGAGGCAATTTAGCTGGATCTGATTTGCTCGGCAACAACTAGTTTCTCTGCTGTAATGTTTCATTAGGAGTCTGGAAGTGAACGCATCTTGTGGAGTGGGGTAGCATATAGCCTTTAGCTGTTTGAAGTTTTTTTTTGAACACTTTAAACAATGCACCTGTTGGAGATGAAAAGTTTATTAATTTGTGGCCTATAGGTCAATGCAGATGAGGTTTCATTACGAAGACGCAGACCTGGATTCAATCCAAGCCACGTTATAGAGCAGCGTACTATATAGCCGATAATTCAGCATTTGCGGAGGTCGCATTCACGGTAAACGCTGCGCATGTTGGCTCAAACATAAATTACCTGTCTGTGCCATAATGCGCCTTGCATTGAATCACGGCCACAGACTAGTTATGAACTACGCTGACAGAATGCTGTTTTACTGTTGCTGCTGACCCATGTCTTGATCATTTCACTGTCTGTTGCCACTTTAGACAATGCACATACAGTATATCATTGCCTTAATGCTTGGTATCTTAGGTAGACAACTGTACAGTTTAACACAACGTTTCTGAAACCATAAATATGTCAACTGCATGTAAACACCTCTTTACATCCAAACACTACAACAAAAGACTGTTGGTTTGACAAGGTAGCATTCTTCTTTGATGGTAAAATCTATATAAAATAGAATGCACGTGGTGATCTGGCTGGCTGATCTAGAGCAAAATATGGTACACATGGTGATCCCTTATTGATGTCACTTGGTAAATCCAACTTCAGTCAGTGTAGATGAAGGGGAGGAAACAGATTAAAGAATAATTTTCAAGCCTTGAGACAATTGAGACATGGATTGTGTATGTGTACCATTCAGAGGGTGAATAGGCAAGACAAAAGATTGAAGTGCCTTTGAACAGGGTATGGTAGTAGGTGCCAGAGGTATCGGTTTGAGTGTGTCAAGAACTGCAACGCTCCTGGGTTTTTCACGCTCAACAGTTTCCACTGTGTATCAATAATGATCCACCACCCAAAGGACATCCAGCCAACTTGACACAAGTGTGGGAAACTTTGCCATCAACATGGACAAGCATCCCTGTGGAACACTTTCGACACCTTGTAGAGTCCATGCCCCGACGAATTGAGGCTGTTCTGAGGGCAAAAGGGGGTGCAACTCAATGTTAGGAAGGTGTTCTTAATGTTTTGTACACTCAGTATACGTTAGTAGAAGCATATCTTCATTTACAATATATCCAGTTTCTATCCCTTTTCAATAGTTGACAATACTCCTTTACTGTTTGTCAAAGTATTGTATGCCAACCTTCTGCAATAATGGTATTTTGTATCAGCTACTTCTCCAGAGAGTGTTAGTAGATGTCAGGAGAGATGGATAGGGTTAGTCTATTACCAGACTAATAGGATTTAGAGATGTCTCTTTATTGTGATGTGCACATCTACTCTCCTCGTCATCTGCCATCATCGATTTTGTGAGTCATGGATCCACAACCAATTCTGTATGTGCAGAATAGAGGAGCAGGCTTTTGTCATTTTCCAGCTTAGATATCCTGAAGGATACAATAGGGAGGCAGAGCTGTGTGGGAACAAATAGCTCTTTATCCTATACGTTGTTGAGTGGGCTGGTTCAAGGTGAGAGGTACGCTTTTCACACTGCCGTGCCATTTCTCAGCCCTGCTTTAGTCCTACCCAATCAAAGATGAGTATGACTCACAATGAGTATCACCGTGATCTGTAAATGTTAATCATATGCTGGTGTCACCCCTGAGACACCATTGTAGCTAGGAATTCTGGGAAATAATTTGTCAGACTTCAATGTAATTGGGCAACGTTCCCTACTCTCCCCTCCTGTTGCCGCCCCTGAGAGCAACACAGAACTGGCACAGAATGATATGATGCTTGCTGAGGCCTGAGAAGAGAATTTATTTGGCCAGCTGTTTGTAGTCTATAGGATTCCCAGAAGAAGACAGACGTGTGGCTATAGCGTTTCATGCATTCTTATTCTTTATGATTGTGTTTGGTGATTGCGGATAGCAGTCAGATTGCTAAACACTGTTGTTACCGTAGCATCCATCTGGGTAGCAGGGCAGTCAATTCAGGAAGTAAATTCAAATTACAATTCAATAATTGAAAAAAATCAATGTTAAAGTTGCCTTCAATTTGAGTTGAGCCCAACCTTTCTGGGTAGATGAGAATATACAGAATTAATTTGCTTTATGTTATACCTTTCTATTTACACAGTGATCTCATCCCTCACATTTTACTGACTTTTAATATCCTTTCACTGAAAAATAATCCCTAATTAGACATGAGAAGCCATTCACTGTTATATGTGTTGTAATTATGAGTCATTAAATGAAAAAGGTAACTCCTGAGAACTTTTTGTGAGCAATAGCTGGCGCTAAAGCAGTTTGTCTAACAATCATCCAAAGGTGATAATTCCCAATCAGCCTCTCCAGCTCACCTTCTCACAGAGTTAATTGTTTCAGTACAGTACATTGCTAATCCTATTAGGATTCAAATTACATTAAATTAAATTGTATTTATCACATGCGCCGAATACAACCTTACTGTGAAATGCTTACTTACAAGCCCTTAACCAACAATGCAGTTTTAATGAAAATAAGAGTTAATGCAAATAGTCCGGGTAGCCATTTGATTAATTGTTCAGCAGTCTTATGGCTTGGGGGTAGAAGCTGTTAAGGAGCCTTTTGGATCTAGAAAGAAGGATGTTTTAGTCACGAGTGCCTCATTTCAATTTGGTGGAGATCATTGTTTCAGAGGAGACATAATATGTATATTATAACTGATATATTACAATCACCTTAGTCTTTGCCATTCCTTCAGAGGGAACAGATCACACATCATAAATGGAAAATAGTCCTCTTTAGAACTCATTTTAGATAGGGAGCCTTAGTATTTATTTAGCACATTTTCCACTTCAAGTAGAATATGTGTTAACTCCAACCATTCATTTGTATTTAATCCCTAACAGACCGTGATGTAATGCTGTAATGTTGAATATCGACTTTCACAAGGGACTGAGTCCCATTGACAGAATTTTTATTCCATTGACATTGTTGTAATATTGAGATACTGTGTCTCATTCGTCAAACAAATGAGATTAGCCGTTTCATCCATGAGTTAAATCAATTTAGGAGTTTATAGTACATTAAGGATGCAGGTCTACCGGCTGGCATTTTACACACAACTATTTTTATCCTCAGGGTCTGTGATGTGGACAAATGTCAAGGAGGCCATTTCCCTACAAACCACTCCAGCCTGGTCACTGTGCTGTTCTACTGTCTGACACATTGCTAAGGCATTGAGTTGGGTCACAGTGCTTATTCACTTGGGAGATCCTCCATTTTGTTACTTTGTGCAGCAAACCATTACTCAGCTAATTAATTGTGTCTGTTGGAGTGGAGTGCCAGAGAGTTCAGGATTAATCTAACTTCTGAAGTAAAACTCTAAAGGACGCCTGTTTTTAATTCACTAACATTGCCATGAAGTAATGTTTTTATGATAGTGATACATGTATGGTGATAGGTAATGAGTGATGAAATACATGTCTTTTTGATGTGTGTGTGTGTGTGTGTGTGTGTGTGTTTGTGCGTGTGTGTGTGTGTGTGTGGGTGTTTGTGTGCGTTATACTAAAGGTTACACACTTCATTGCCTGTGCTGCTGGTGATGACAACTGACTGTCTCTCTGTGTGTCTGTGACTTGCCCCAGGGACTGTGTGTGTGGCCTAGTCATTGAGGATGAAGTGGAACTTGTTCAAGAATAAGCCAGAGGCCATGGTGGGTCCAGAGCCCACGGGCACAGGCGCCACCATGACCGCGGCCCCAGCTGTCGCCATCGCCACCACCGTGGCTGAACCCCCAGGCAATGGCACAGTTTCCAAGAACGACATGTTCGAAGAGATCAAGAGCAAGTTCATGAACGAGATCGATAAGATCCCACGTAAGTCTTCCCTGGTTAACCAAAATAGTTCATTCTTTCCCAACCCTGACTCATAACTCGTGTACATGGAACAGAGAAGCCAAAATCTGAATGATGTCATAGGAGCTCAATTAAATCCAACCTGTATTGAGGTGTTTACATAGTGGTGTCCCCCCCCCCCCGTGTGTTGCAGTGCCATCCTGGGCCATCATAGCCATCGCTGTGGTGGCTGCCCTCCTCATCCTCACCTGCTGCTTCTGCATTATAAAGAAGTGCTGCTGTAAGAAGAAGAAGAACAAGAAGGGAAAGAAGGGAAAAGATGGCCTCAACATGAAGAACATGAAAGGGGACGAGGTATGGTGCTTCGGGCTCCGCATAGAAACTCAGTTCACAGAGTACATGCAGCTCCCACAGACATAACTTATATCACACTCAGGATACTTATTTAAATTGAACACAAAACTCATATGAAAATCAATGAGTTACGTTTTTATTTTTAGATGATGAAAGTAGACAAACATGACAAGGAATGAATCTCGGGATAGCTGACAGACAGGGTTGAATCTCGGGATAGCTGACAGACAGGGTCTGTAATTATAAGCCTACAAAGCAACACACTCCATTCCTCCATAACAACAAGGTTACCTGTTTTATTAACTGTGCAACCATTTATATTGTTGGACGAACTCAGTAAAGTTTCGGTCAATATGTAAAGATGGAAGATCTTAATTAGACCTACATCGCAACAGCTAAATACGCTACCTGACCAAAAGTATGTGGACACCTGCTCGTCGAACATCTCATTCCAAAATCTTGGCCATTAATATGTAGTTGGTCCCCCCTTTGCTGCTATAACAGCCTCCACTCTTTTGGGAAGGCGTTCCACTAGATGTTGGAACATTGCAGCGGGGACTTGATTCCATTCAGCCACAAAAGCATTAGTGAGGTCGGGAACTGATGTTGGGGGATTAGGCCTGGCTTGCATCCCAAAGGTGTTCGTTGGGGTTGAGGTCAGATCTCTGTGCAGGCCAGTCAAGTTCTTCCACACCGATCTCGACAAACCATTTCTGTATGGACCTCGCTTTGTGCACGGTGGCATTGTCATGCTGAAACAGCAAAGGGCCTTCTGTTGCCATAAAGTTGGAAGAACAGAATCGTCTAAAATGTTATTGTATGCTGTAGCGTTAAGATTTCCCTTCACTGGAACTAAGGGGCCTAGCCCGAACCATGAGAAACAGCCCCGGACCATTAATCCTCCTCCACCAAACTTTACAGTTGGCACTATGCATTCGAGTTTTACACCACTTCAGCCAACGTTGGCATTGCGTATGGTGATCTTAGGCTTGTGTGCGGCTGCTCTGCCATGGAAACCCATTTCATTAAACTCCTGACGTACATTTATTGTGCTGACATTGCTTCCAGAGGCAGTTTGGAACTCGGTAGTGAGTGTTGCAACCGAGGACAGACCATTTTTATGCTCTACGCGCTTCAGCACTCAGTGGTCCCGTTCTGTCAGCTTGCGTGGCCTACCACTTCACGGCTGAGCCGTTGCTGCTCCTATACGTTTCCACTTCATAATAACAGCACTTACAGTTGACCGGGGCAGCTCTAACAGGGCAGAAATTTGACGAACTGACTTGTTGGAAAGGTGGCATCCTATGACGGTGCCACGTTGAAAGTCACTGAGCTCTTCAGTACTGGCCATTCCACTGCCAATGTTTGTCTATGGAGATTGCATGGCTGTGTGCTCGATTTTATACACCTGTCAGCAACAGGTGTGGCTGAAATTGCCAAATCCACTAACTTGAAGGGATGTCCACATACTTTTGTATATACTGTATAGTGTAATTGCAGCAACAGAATTTGAATGTTTAGTTCATAATGTTGCTTGATCAGTGGTTAGGCCAAAAGTAGGCTACATGAAAAGTGCAATACTGTTAATATAACTGTGTGTTAGTGTGGGTTTTCTGTGAATTCTCAGCAACAAAAGAGTGATCAAATTAAGATCTAACATCTGTATATAGATTTGACCAACAACAAATGCTCTTTATGCATCCCTTGGTGTATCAATAACAACCTTTGATCTTTCATTGGCAGCACTTAGACCAGACTTAGGGAGACATATCGATAACCTCCTATCCTCTCTGTTGTCCTCTCTTGATGTGGTTGTTGTTGTCGTTTTAAACTGTGTGCTGTACTTCATTGTGACATACAGTGAAAAATGACACATTTGTTATGGGAAAGTGACCAGGGATGGGTTGGATAATGGGTAGAGAAGGTAATGAAGCCCTGTCTTTTGTGGCATTCCAATTAGCGGATGACTGCTAGGGTAAGCTGGCCTCCGTGCTTAAGGATAATAGACATGATACCCATGGATCAGAGGAGCCGTATCTCAGACAGAGCAAAATAAACGGGGGAGGACTGTGAAAAGTGCTCCTGCTTAATTCCAGGCTGAATGTGTCCGATATCATTAAGAGGGCCCCATGCACCAGTAACAGTTAATTAAAACAATTAATTGTCTCCACATGGTGAAAGATTGTCCTGGAAGTAGGACTTTTTGTAATTATGTTTTTAATGAACAGACAATCACTGTGTCGTTTTTCATCGTGTTTTGCCGGTGGTTTGGTTTGTTTTTCTGGTGTGTTGTAAGTTCAAACCTCTTCCTCTGCTCTCCTCCTCTTCACTCTGTCTCTTATGTGTGCATCGTGTTTCTTGACTGTGATGGACCCCTGATCTACGGTAGGTGGAAGGATCGCGGTGATGCTCTCTGGCCCATGGGCAGATGATGATGATGATGATGAGGGGGGGTTTCATGGAATGAAAATCGTAGCTTCTTTGCTTTTCTAACATGTTTTGCAATTATGGCTTGAGAATTTAAATGAGAAAGCTATGGTCTGCTCCATAAAACCCTGAGAGAAAACTAAAAATGATTGAAATAACGTATCGCTCATGATGAGACAGTGTGATGCCAAACTCACCCCAATATGAAACGTATTGGACATAGTTTAAACGCAACCCACGAATGACACTATTAATATCTGCATGTGAAAAAGGGCATGGTTGGTTGTTTGTGGAACATGATGACGACAATGATAACCGCATGACCAATCAATGAAGATTTTTCATCTGCACCCCAATTACTTTGTCACTCAATGAAGAGTGAGAATGAGAATAAAAAAATAAAACAGTTTTTCAGATGAAATAGTCACGTAAACTTGAACATGTCAGAAACAGGGGTTACCATAACTGGCTGTTATCGAACTGAAATACTGCTTCTACATTATGCAAATAGCTGGCTATGCCCTTTAATCCTGTAGCTACCATTTGGCTGGAAAAATGGTGACCTGACTTGAGAGGAACATTCCTTGGTGACACATTCATGGAATAAAAAGGAAGCAAGTATGATTATACAGGCCCTGCTTTTGGAGGATCAGTTAGCTAGTTCCTTGGGAATTTGGGGTAAGATGTAAAAGACCGGTTAAAACAATTGTGTCACCAATGGAAATTTTGAATTCAAGTCATTAGCTAGAACATATCATTCCTGAGTCCCTGGTTGCATTAGAGACAGGATGGTATTCCACTATGCCACCAGGTGAGGAGCAGGTAAGCGGGAGCAAAAACAAGCAGGTCCCGGTGCTATGCAATGCAAGGCAATGCAAGGCAACGCAACAAACCCTTGTGCTACGCAGCGCAAAGCAACACAACACAAGCCTCCTGGACGTCCACTGTCTGTCTGTGGCATGCTGTCTGTGGTGGGTGGGCTGGGACACCCTCCCTCTGGCTCCTACAGCTAACCCCTGACCCCTGAACTCTGATCCCTGTGTCCTGTGTTCCACTGCAGAAACAGGACGACGACGATGATGAAGGCGAGACAGGCCTGACGGAGGAGGAGAAAGAGGAGGAGGAGAAGGAGGAGGAGAAGCTTGGCAAGCTGCAGTACTCGCTGGACTATGACTTCCAAGACAGTAAGGTCAGTGGCTGATATTTCCCCTTTTAGTCATTGTAGGCACTGCTCAGCAAAACCTGTATTAGACTGTTTTACTGCTCAGCAAAACCTGTATTAGACTGTTTTACTGCTCAGCAAAACCTGTATTAGACTGTTTTACCGTATTACAATATTTGCAGCATTGTCAGTAAGACTCCATCAACTTCTAGGGATGAGAAAAAATATGTGCACATTTATCTATATGCCAACAGTGCATTTATCATAACCATTTAAAATAACACATCCTAATGGCTAAATTGCACCATATATTCAGTCAATAAAAAAACAAGTGACATTTTAAGATTTGTTTACTGAAACCGTAATATCAACTAGTTATATTATATTGTGGAACACAATCTTCAAAAAGGGTAACCTCAGCAGTGGTGCTTGCTTTTAGAAGTCTTATGTTAGGAATCAAAAGGACTACTAAAGGTAAGTTGACTAATTAAATATCAACTTAAATCAAATAGCTCATTATATATTCAGTTTTTTAAAAAATGATTTGAATCATTCATTGAAACTGTAATGAGCTGTGTTACCTGCTCGGCTTTGGCGAGGTCACAGCGCCGCTTTGCAGCGGCAAAATATGTGATGCGAGATTGCTGCACCTACATATGCCTAGTGTGTGAAAAAAAAGTGATCTATGGTTAAAGATTGAGTTCGAGGACTCCATACCCATCCCTATCAACTTCTAGAAGTTAAAGGCATAGTTAGTCTAATTGACAGATTTATGGATACCCAGAGAGTAGAGTGGTGGACCTGGTGGTGAGTCATCCATCTAGAAATTAGTGTGTGTTTACTGAGCTCAGCTTTGGTATTGTTGAGTACAAACCAGTGGGCATGGTGGGACCCTTGTGGGTATGCTCCAAATAGCATGCCCACATCCCCTCAAAGTACCTTGAACAAACAAACATCTTTTATCAACATAAACCCTTGAGAGGTTGAGGGTTTATACGTGTGAGGATGATGTGTCAGTTGATTTTTTAATATTTTCTCAGTTGCTGAAAGTGGTCCTTTTTGAAAGAGAAGCAAGGTGCTGTTTGAAGATGTGTTCCTCATCCTGAAGATGGGTTAAGGCCAGTCACGCTAGATGTTCAGCTTATCATATTCTTCGTTGATTTCTTCGTGACATGTCGGTTCTGAGAGTAAAAGCGGCTATTGAGCTGTCCAATTAATTCAGGGCAAATTCTTATATAAGCTTTGCAGAAAAAAACTGCTGCTCTGTAAAAACATCAGCAGAATTGCGCACCGACACTTTTGGGGAGTGACAGCTGACAATTGCTGGATTTAGGATTGATGAATTAAAATATTCAAGAGAGTAGTGAATCCAGATCAGGGTTCTGGGAATGAGAGGGTTTCTCTAGTATATTCAGCATCTTTGTGAATGAATGGGTAGAGTCAGTGTTACAGTGACATAAGTCCAAGAGGAGTGAAAATGCAGAGTCATTCTGAAACAAGGAAGTCCCTCATGAGATACTGACACAGGACCAGGGCTTGGAGTCGCTGACGCAGGACCAGGTCTTGGAGTCGCTGACGCAGGATCAGGGCTTGGAGTCGCTGACGCAGGATCAGGGCTTGGAGTCGCTGATGCAGGATCAGGGCTTGGAGTCGCTGACACAGGATCAGGGCTTGGAGTCGCTGACGCAGGATCAGGGCTTGGAGTCGCTGACGCAGGATCAGGGCTTGGAGTCGCTGACGCAGGATCAGGGCTTGGAGTCGCTGACGCAGGACCAGGGCTTGGAGTCACTGACGCAGGACCAGGGCTTGGAGTCGCTGACACAGGATCAGGGCTTGGAGTCGCTGACGCAGGATCAGGGCTTGGAGTCGCTGATGCAGGATCAGGGCTTGAGATGAAAATGTACATTAAAGCAGGTCCTTTCTTTCTAACTGAATCAATTACTGTGCCTTAAACATAGTTAATCTCTCTGTCATTCAGAGCATAATGATACTTGGCACAAGTACCTCTTTTTCAGATATGCAGAACTACTGTAACATGATATTCTGTGACATTCTGATGACATTGCAGCAAATACATTTGGCAGCTCTAGTGTGGATAGCTTGTATCTAATCTTGGTCATCTAAAGGGGCTGTGGTGATTGTTGTTGGAGCTTTTGGTTGTCAGCCAACAGGCCACAAGTTTATGTAACAAGGCTGCAGCATTTTTTTCTGCAGCAGTGACAGGAAGCACACATTAATAGATTAATGCATGTTGTTTTCTCACCTGAAATGGTTGGTTTGTCTCAATGCTGTCTCTGACCCCTGTCCGCTCTGCCCCACCCCTCACAGCTGACTGTGGGAATCCTCCAAGCTGCTGATCTTATCTCCATGGACAGCGGAGGAACCTCTGACCCGTACGTCAAGGTCTTCGTCCTCCCAGACAAGAAGAAGAAGTTTGACACCAAGGTTCAAAAGAAAAACCTGAACCCTGTCTTCAATGAGTCATTTGTTTTCAAGGTAAGTCATAACACAGTTTCTAAACCAGGACTGTACTTGCACAGAAGTTATTTGGAACATAAAAAGGTATCAATCATCCTGCCAAACTAAAATGCTGAAAAATATTGTGTCTGGCTAGGACAGCGGAGTCTCAAGCTAAATCTAATGTAACAGTTTTTGTAAAAGAATCAGACATAAGAAGCTACATGGTATAAGACTTTGTGGTTGTTGCCTACATTTCTTTTTCATTATGAAGTCACAGTATGTGTTCTTGTTGTGGTCACGGCATAGTGTAGAGCAGTGCTGGCCTGCCATGCCTGCCTGCCTGCCTGCCTGCTATGTACCCTCTTGCCTGTGTACTAACTGCAGCTTCCTGTACTACTCAATGAGGTCCATGGAGACTGAATAAGCCTCTCAGGGTCAATGTGAAAGCACTCTGCAAACTTACCACCATAGTTAAGAACACTATTGTCTATTCTCTCAGCATAACAGTCATTTAGAGACCTAGAATGAAAATACAAATCTGTATTATTGGACCTAGGTAGAGTAGAGACCATCCATGAACAGTTTGGAATTAACAGTATTTGAAATCAGATGCATGCCTTTAGAATGTATTTGTTTTATATATATGTATCATTGAGACCCTTTACCACAGGAAAATACATTGAATGTTTAGACCTGCTTTAGTGTATTATACATTTGTTGGCAATTTCGACCTGTAAAGCCAGCGCTCTGCTATATTCCAACCCTTAAGCCAGGATCGGTAATTTCCTGTCTTATGTGAGCTCGCTTGCGCTGAGGTGAGAGGGGTGGTAATATCTGAGGTCTGTTTCATTTTATTGAAAACAAGCCTCTCAGTAGGCTACACTTACCATAACCAAAGCTGGTTCAACAAAAATGCGTCTGGTGTCTTTCCTATCCTGGCCATGCATTAGCCAAGTAGCCTATCCATAAAATGTTTCTAAATGGTCTACTTGTGAGACTTTTGCCGTCATATTTTGCATTATTCAGAATTCACATAGGCCTACCTGCAGTGCATACTCCATTCAGCTTGCATCCATCCCCATTTCCAAAGAGAGCCTCTTGTCCCGTTATCAAAGACGCGCTCCTCCAAACATATTCAAATTATTCAGTCCTATAACACCATATCAAAGGTAGGCCTAGGCTATATCTTGCTTATTGAGAACGTTCCTCACACATACACTACAATTTACGGGAGCCTAGAATTTGTTATTTGCGTAAAGACATCCCACTGGGAAAAAACTGGTTGAATCAACATTGTTGTCTTTTTGTCAGCAGAACTTTTAACCTAAATCCATTGACATGGTGAATTATTTTGTTGATTTACCATTGCGTAAGGTTTGTTAAAATAGAGCCCCAGGTCTGCAAGGGCTGGAGTGAATCAACAGAACCCATATTAGATACACTAATTATGCTTTAGTGCTTTAGAGCTGAATAAATCTCTCCTTAGATGTTTCCTGAGTAAAAACAAAGCTACACATTAGAATTCAGCCTAACCCATTTTCTGCATGTCCTATTGTGTGTTGTAAAACTCTTTATGTATGTTGGCTGACATTGTGCCGTATTACTGATATATCAGTAATCAATGTCTTGCCAGCAGCCCATGTCACCAAGTAACATGTATATTTCTTAAGCTTATTTTTTTCATCAATATGAACAAAGTCAAATAGCATACAGCAGGGACATGTGGTTTTACAATCAGATTTAATAATCAAGTTGTGTTGTTGTTGTGTTGTGGTGTTGTTGTTGTTGTTGTTGATGTGTTCCTTCATCAGTTACCGTATGATGAGCTCGGTGGGAAAACCCTGGTGATGTCAGTCTTTGACTACGACCGATTCTCCAAGCATGACATCATTGGAGAGGTGAGGATCCCCATGAACACCATTGACCTGGGACAGCCCATCGAAGAATGGAAGGACCTGGAGAGTGCAGACAAAGAGGAGGTATGCTCTGAAAAGAAACACAACCTATTTATGCTAGTCATCATTTATTGATTGATCTTTCTGTGAATCTATCTAACTAAGCTAATCGTTGGACGGGAGCGTTGCCCCATCAGAATTAACAACAGCCAAGCTCTGACAATTGTAATATGCATTTTTTGCCTATCTTTCCCTCTCTGTGTCGTTGCTCTCTCTGTGCTTGCCCTCTCTCTATCCTTAATCTCCATGCAGCCTGAGAAGCTGGGAGACATCTGTATCTCTCTCCGTTACGTGCCCACCGCTGGCAAACTCACTGTCTGTATCCTGGAGGCAAAGAACCTCAAGAAGATGGACGTGGGTGGACTGTCTGGTACGTTAAGACTTCCACTGGACGTACAGTTTACTCTTGAGATTCTTAAAGGGTTCTTGAAAGGTTCTTTGCAGTGAGTGATGGTTCTATGTAGAACCATGTCTTCTCAAAGAACCATTCTCTATATAGAACCCTCCCCTTCCAAATTGTTCTTTACAATGTTGAAGCAGTCCTTCGCTAGATGGTTGTGGGTAATTATGAATTCCTGTTCTTTATGTTGCATTATTTCACTTACTGTGTGGTATCTATGATTTTGTTGTTTTATTCTACCTGTCTTGTGTCTGTGTTTATGTTCATGGGTTCTGTTGAGGTGGCTAGTCCGATACCGTCAGTGAGAAGGGTCTGCAAGTATATGCGAGTTTATATTTTTGGACTAACTTCATCATTTGACATGGTTGAGTCAGGTTGATACAACTCCCAGGTGAGAGTAATTAAGCATGATCAACCCCATATTACAACACAGTAGCATAACAATGTTAAAAACTGAATATCTTCATCATCATACATATCATATACCAATTACTCGTAGATAACTGTTACAGAAGTGAAATGTTTATGGTGCTATTCAGAACCATCTCATGAAATAATTGGATATTTTTAACTTCTATATAGCACCTTCAAGAAAGGAGTCTACAAAGCCCCAATAAGGGTGCCGCCCTGGTCACAAATCAAAGAACCCAATTTTAGTACTAAAAATGTATAGTTTGTCTGCTGTTAAAACAACTTGTGGGTGGACTGTCTGGTAGGGCAAACCACTGGACATAACAGTAGATCATTTCCAACCAATCAGGCATGTCAATCTGCCATTAATTAAACAGCTCAGTGATGCAGAATCTCTGATTTATTTGCAGACATTGTATTACTGTATGTTACATTAATGAGCTCTCTGAATTATTTTTCTAATTAGCAAGCAACTCACATCACGTCACATGTTTGCTCTGTCGAAGTGATGCATTTAAAACATGAAATGAGAGATTGAATATCTGTTTTTCTTTCTTTGCAGATCCCTATGTGAAGATTGCGTTGCTGCAGGGAGGCAAGAAACTGAAGAAGAAGAAGACTACTGTGAAGAAGAACACTCTGAATCCGTACTACAACGAGTCCTTCAGCTTTGAGATCCCAATGGACATGATGCAGGTACACACACTTTACTGCTATTGTTTCTTATTCTCTAGACCTACAACCACATTTCAATTTTCGCTATGCTTTGATGCTTTACAGAAATTCAACTATGAAAGAAAATCAATACAATTCATTGGAATTTTTAAGGAAAATAACACTCAAAAACTATATTTTGGTGTTTGTTTCATTGGTCCACTGTTGATACAGTTCCAAAAAATTGTTTTGCTTGTCAGCAATCAAGTTTTCAAGATATAGAACCTTCAAAATACAGAAAATGGTCACACTATGATGCGACTATCATTTTGGAACTGTATAAACAGTGGACTAATGAAACAAACACCTATAGACAGTTTTTGAGTGGTGTTTTCCTTTAAGCCCTAGTAGTTTAATACCTACTGTATGCATATGAATGGCTATGTGATTATGTGAGCGCACACATGTACAATCTACAACACATATACATGTTTTTCTCTCTTTCCTCTTTAGAAAATATTGGTGGTGGTGACAGTGTTTGATTATGACAAGATTGGCAAGAATGACGCCATTGGGAAGATATTTGTGGGCAGCAAGGCGACGGGCCCTGGTCTGAAGCATTGGTCTGACATGCTCTCTAACCCCAGGCGTCCCATTGCCCAGTGGCACCCACTACAACAGGAGGAGGATATAGATGCAGCATTGGCAGGATTAAATGCAAAAAAGTAACTTAACTTGTCCAATTGATTACCAACTAAACAACTAACTCAGAAACCCTCCCTCCCCAACCGTCCTAAACTGCATGAAATTCATGACTTACACATGATTCTGTCATGTCTACTTGAAACACTGAACAACAAAAAAAATGAAAGATCTAGAATATAAGCTTATTCATAGTTAAATCGAAGAACATAAACAACACCATATCATTTCACGTATTTAGTGTATAGTGAGAAGAGGGAGATTGAGCGATAAATTGATTGATTGATTGATAAATGTATCTGTGTTTCATTTGAACATGCTTTTTAGGAACATATGCTTAGATGCTGACAATGGAAGTTTGGACTCAATGAATATGATGCTGGTTATAGCTTCTTCATTTAGTTTATGGAACATTATGCATGCTTTACTTGTGATCTCACTGCACTACGTAAACCATGCCAAACCGATTCCCAATAGCATATATCTTGTTCTCAACCCATCAGTGTGCCATATCTTGCAGTAGAGATTAGTATTGGAACATTTCTCACACAGAACAGTTTTAAGTCTACTAATGGAAAGGGTTTAGGTGAGATGGTAGGTATTAAGGTAATACAATGCAGCAATCCATTCCAGAATGTCTTTCTGGAAGAACTTCACAATGCAATGTTTTTTGTTCCAATTTCATTATTATTATTATTATTATTATTATTATTATTATTATTATTATTATTATTATTATTGTATGTATTCCCATACATATGAGAGAGAGACATATTGTGGCAAAAATGACATTTGGCTTTGCAGTTAATCAAACACGATTAACTTCTATGCCGTTATGGACAGGGTCAGTACAGCTTCCAGTGTTTTCAGTGTGATACACAGACTGGGAGGAATTCATGGGTGCCTTTAGGCTCTCAACTTAGAGTGCGCTGAGGGAAACTGTAAATCTGGCAAATGTCATAATGACACAGTCCAAGGAAACTGCAAATGTGCTGCAGACCTACTTTGACCACTTGGATGTAAAAGTGATTACTTATCCATGTCCAAAGTAAAGACGATTGAAGAATTATCGCTGTCATCCAAAACCATGACGACTATGCTTTGTTAGTGATGAGATGTTTACTACTAATAGCATGTGTTGAAAACACATTTGACCTTTTACTATTTTAAGTCAAAGATACAAAATGTTGAGGATGTATGTTCAAGAAAATAAAGAAAAGTTATTAATAATATTCTACTAAGACAACATTGCACCCTGTACACTATTGTGAATACATTTTTGGCATTAGTGCTATCGAGATGAAAGGAGTGTATGTTATAAGATGGGACCATATGCTTGTTACAGCCACTGCCTGTGAATTGTAAAGCAATCTGCATCTCTGAAATGACTGACACAAACATACTGGAGTGGATGTTTTCTCAGTTAAAATGTATGTTTGCATGAAGGCCCAAAGTCTATTTCTCTCTGCTGAGGATGACTTTAGTGGTGTGGGTATACATTCAATTATTGGATGTTCACATTGTAATGATGAAAAAGTCATCATCAAGCAACCGGAAATGCAGCATTTGCTTGAAACAAATGGGAGTAAAGTAAGCATGATTTCTACTTTGTGTATCTCTTCATGTCGTTAGCTTTGACTTTTGCACCATGCACTCATCAGCAACCTGCTTAGTATGTAACCCTTTCTGTAAGAGGCCAAAGTCCGGAAACATTGTGGTATTGTCCGCTGTTTATTCAAACCTGTTTTTCCCAAGGGCGTTGTTCGTTCAGACATCCTGTGATTTTGATGTCCAGGAGGCCATGGTATATAAGGTGATCAAACTGAAAAGAGGGTGAACGTTGGCATACTAATAAGTCCATTGATATGTAGTTTTGGACCCCTCCCTCTTGTCCTGCTGTAAACATTATACATTGAGCAAATGTGTTAATACAGCGTGTATCTTTGAAATGTTGTAAATAGCAGCATGTTTTAAAGAGGAACCAGAATTAGTGTGTATGTGCGTTTGTGTCTAATGTCATTTGGATAATAAAATGGAGAGAAAATATGCACTGACTGCACATTTGATGTATTTTCCCTTAAGGGTATAATGGGACTGAATGTATGTCTGCATAGTATATGTTGTTTTACAGGCTATATTCTTGCCTGAAATTCAACAGTGTTGCTTATTTTTTGTATTTTTTTTTTGGTGTGGATATTCATTTAGCATACCATAATGCTGCATGCTTGTTTTTAGTATTTGTTCATTCTACTACCCTTTCTATCCGTCTACTGTGGACAACCCTAAATATATTATTATATGCTGGGGCTACAAGTCAAAATGCAATATTACTTACATTTCCTGCTTTCACTCGTATGTGTGCATGGTCTTTGATGGCCAGGATTTATTGTGTATTTATTGCAAAAAGGAGAACATTTACAAGCTCCATTGCTTTTCTAATTATGAGTACCGTAAGTGTTTCCTTCATGTATCCTGCCATAGGTGGTAGTCACCACCTTATCAAAAAATAATTTGTATCTGTTGTGTCCCACTACTAAGTCAGATTATGGTATTACACAAATGTAAATCCAAGTACTAGACCGTACTTAACGTTAGACTGTTTAGTCCCAGGTTCATGTTATCAGACATAGCTCGCTGTATAGGAGCCAAAGCATGGACTTGTAGCCCCCTTTCAATAACTCTCTCCATATGTGTACCCTGAGACGTCCTCTGCTTGCTGTCATTCACTGGCGTCGTTGCTTAACATAACAGTTAAACATGTATTTTTTTTGTATGTTGATTAACATAAGAAGTAAAGCCATAAAACTTGAGCACATTAGAGCTCATCTGTGAGGTTAGTAACTAAGCCTAAAAACACCTCTTAAGTTTCTATACTCTGAGCAAAGGCATATTACTACTCATTTAAAAACCTTATAGAGATATTAACAGAGCAGCTGATTCAGACTTGCTCACTTTCCTGTGATAGAACAGGTTATAAATGATCTACTGAATATGGATATTAAAATGTTAACTATATTATTTTTGTTCATCTGTCGTCACCAGAATCAGCTCTGTTGGAATTTCACCTCACATTATATAATGCATGCTTTGCTTATATAAATATGTACTTAATAGTATGATAGTGCTAATGTTTAGCAACATTATTGGCATGACTTTAAGTTGATATTGTAAGATGTACATGCCTCTGTATTTATGAAATGATATGACTGCTTGGCTTTTTGTGATGATCATATACATACTTATGTTCGAAAGAGTTTAAATGAACATTCAGTCATTCGTAGAATTTGTACATGGAATGCAAAACAATGTTTGTTTTTTAAATGTTAGCGTAAAGAGCCTATAGCAGCAAAATAGTGACAGCATGTCAGTCGATTGCAATATTACGTTAGCTAGTTTTCCCATGTCACAGCACTTATGCTCTCAATACTCCGACTGCAAATAGGCCTATAGATCTGATTTGTACGAACCATTCAGTATAACCTCTATTCCAGTATGGCAATTATTACTCCGAATATGAGTATAATTGTGGTGATAAATGAATACTGTTACTCCCTGACTTGTTTTCCCGATCCCTCCTATTGAGTATACTTGGATTGGTTCATGATCGTTTCATAGATTGGTCGTGTGTCACTTGTGTTTCTTGTGTCGAGCAGCAACTTATCATTCTGCTTTAAATGTTTCCAATTTACAATAAGACCAATAGCGTCTGTGTTCTTCTAAAGTTTCCTCTGTGAACAACAGAAACTGAGTGGGTCAAATTGCTGTAATGCAGGCAACAAGATCTCAGTCTTCCTGGTCTATGGAACTGTTTTGAGCACGGGGCGGACCCAAACAGCGCAGAACTACATTCGCAATGCAATACTGCCCACCTTGCTGCTTGAAAAAGAAAAACGGTTCCTCTTTATGCATAGCGTTTTGATCCTACATTGCCACCATACTACAAGAATTCCAAAGAACTGTTCCCCTCTGCCTCTCCTCCTCACTCCCTCCACTCCTCCTACTCACTCCCTCCTCTCCTCCTACTCACTCCCTCCTCTCCTCCTACTCACTCCCTCCTCTCCTCCTACTCACTCCCTCCTCTCCTCCTACTCACTCCCTCCTCTCCTCCTCCATAATCCCTCCTCTTCTCACTCCCTCCTCCCCTCCTCCATAATCCCTCCTCTCCTCTCCTCACTCCTTTCTATACTACTCAACAACATGGACAAGGGAAATGTTTGAACTTGATTATAGTTTTTTGTCTCGTTGTAGAGGTGTGTGTATGTGTGTCAGTAGTTGTGTGGATTGCATGATGTATTTCCCTACCAAGGAACATGTTGTTGTCCAGCAAAAAGACTCCAACTCCTCCAGCTCTTGTATTCATATATCAGTCAATGTGATATTAAGAATCTCAAGGGAACCTAAACATTGAGTCTCCACAGACGTATCTACAGTATACGTTACCATAGTAATCGTAGGAAATAAAGGTATTTTAAGTATGCTTCTCTTGCGTGGTTTGTAAACAATGTATTTTTTCAAGTACTTTTTCAAGTTCACTACTTCATTTAAACTATACGTATAACAATCTATATAATCTATAACGCTTACAAATGTGTACCAATCCTGATTCTCATTCATGTTACAGTATATACTGTAGGCCTCTGCAGTAAGATGCATTACCACACATGACCAGTTGATGACACTGAATACAAGAGATTGCGTTGGATTGCAGCATAGAACATCTTTATAAATAACTTATACAAGGGGTAGGAGACTGTTCATGTGATGTAGTAAAAAACATTTCAAATGTAAAATAGTGATACAAAACATAAACTGTTACACCAGTTTATAGATTAAACCTTTGCAGACATTCATACGGTATTATTATGTGCTGTGATGATATTATTATGCATTATAGCAATCAATAAATACATTTAAAAAATGTGCAAATATGCAAACTGCGTGTGAAGACTATCGGTGTTGTTGTTGGTGTGGGTGGGGGTGGTGTTGGTATTGTTGGGGGTGGTGTTGGTGTTTGGTGAGGGGGTGGTGGGCGTGGTGTTGTTGTTGGTGTGGGTGGTGTTGGTGTTGGTGTGGGTACATTTACATTTACATTTACGTCATTTAGCAGACGCTCTTATCTAGAGCGACTTACAAATTGGTGCATTCACCTTATAGCCAGTGGGATAACCACTTTACAATTTATTTATTTTTATTTATTTTTTATTTTTTGGGTGGGGTAAGGGGGGGGTTAGAAGGATTACTTTATCCTATCCCAGGTGTTCCTTAAAGAGGTGGGGTTTCAAATGTCTCCGGAAGGTGGTGAGTGATTCCGCTGTCCTGGCGTCGTGAGGGAGCTTGTTCCACCATTGGGGTGCCAGAGCAGCGAACAGTTTTGACTGGGCTGAGCGGGAACTGTGCTTCAGCAGAGGTAGGGGAGCCAGCAGGCCAGAGGTGGATGAACGCAATGCCCTCGTTTGGGTGTAGGGACTGATCAGAGCCTGAAGGTACGGAGGTGCCGTTCCCCTCACAGCTCCGTAGGCAAGCACCATGGTCTTGTAGCAGATGCGAGCTTCAACTGGAAGCCAGTGTAGTGTGCGGAGGAGCGGGGTGACGTGAGAGAACTTGGGAAGGTGGTGTTGGTGGGTGGGGGTGGTGGGGGTGGTGTTGGTATTGGTGTGGGTGGGGGTGGTGTTGGGTGTTGGTGGGGGTGTTGGGGTTGTTGTTGGTATTGGTGGGGGTGGAGGGGGTGGGGGTGGTGTTGGTGGTGTTGGTGTTGGTGGTGGTGGTGGTGGTGTTGGTGTGGTGGGGGGGGGGTGGGGGTGGTGGGGGTAAACATGGGAAATAAAGATGCATCATCCACTCCTCTCTTCCTCCTACTCCTCCTCTCACTTAGACAGTTTACTGATGACCCGGATTAAGGCTCCGTTCTCATCCTTCAGTCTCTGGTTCTCATTCTTCAGCTCTGTCTGGACCTGTGGAGGACAGCAGACAACAAGCAGACAGAGAGGGTTATGGTTGGTGTTATGGTTGGGGTTATGGTTATGGTTGGGGTTGGAGTTGGGGTTATGGTTGGGGTTGGGGTTATGGTTGGGGTTATGGTTCGGGTTGCGGTTATGCTTGGGGTTATGGTTATAGTTGTGGTTAAGGTTAGGTTTGATTCACAGGACAAATGACAATGACACTCATCACCGACCTCTCCTCTGAGTTAACTGAACATTTAACGTTCTCCCACAAAATGTTTCTATTTTCAGTTCAGTGTTCCATCTTTATTGAGAGCTCTCATTCAGAGATAACAAAAGGTTGTTGTCTGTACCCTACTGTATGGAACACAGCAGACGAATGTGGCAGTAGTTAATGCGGACAAATACCAACGGCGTACTCACTCGATGAATATCAATCAGAGACCTCACACATTCCACAGCCAACGGCGCACAATGATGACATAATGATGACATAATGATGTCAGCTTAGAATATCACACCACATACCATTTATGCTTTGTCACCGCTCGCTTGAGACTCAGGCTGCATCGCAACTGGCACATTAGACCAGAAAGCAGTGCATTATAAAGGGGACAGGGTGTCGTTTGAGACGGACTAACACTACAGTACCAAGGCACGTCCCAGAGTGATATTCCTTGTTCAGCAACTTACTCTGTCTGTCTGTCTGCAGGGCAGCTTTGAGATGGCTAGGCCTCCTGCGGAGACTGTGTTTTGGCAATATGTTCTGTCTCTGCTGTGGCTCAGTTTAGTCTATTGGAGATGTTCTCAATTGGTACAAGAACTGGCAATAAGCCACAAGAAAACGGCCCTGAATTGGTCAGACATTGAACATCTCTCAGTATCAATTCAGTAAATTCACCATTATTGCAACTGGACAGATACCTTCACTTCATCTTCCATGTCTGATATCTTCTTCTGTAGGACACGTGTTTCCTACAGAGAGGAGAGGAGACATGTCTCAGTGAGACTAAACATGATGGGGCTACCAGAGAGGAGAGGAGACATGTCTCAGTGAGACTAAACATGATGGGGTTACCAGCCTGACCATGACTTGACCTATGAGCTATTAATATAACATATATTGAATAGACATGCAGTACCAGGCCAAGACAGAAGTTAAAAGTGCATAAGCAAACATCCAGTGACATATGGAGCTCACCCGTTTTTCTGTCTCAAGCATGGACCTCTCATTGGACCTTTCAGTCATTGTGATCTTTCTCTGCAATGCACAAGTCCATGGTTAAAATCGGGACAATGAGAACAGCACAATCCCTGAAGATGGCAGACATTTCTTATATGTACCTTGGTCACAACCATGGTCACCTCACATGCATACTACTGTACTTCACAAATACCACCTCCCAAGCATTTACCTCCTGGAATCAGCCAATGCATCTTCCTTGCATAATCTGTCACATTTTTCTCACTCCTGCATCTTTCCTGATTCTATTGGGCAGTGGTCCATGCAGTAGGATATGGAAGAGTTATTCCACCATGTATTTGACAAGAACTGTAAGTTGAAACCATGATAAGTAATAAAAAGGCACAAACATACATAGAGTATACAGTGCATTAGGAAAGTATTCAGACCCCATGACTTTTTCCACATTTTGTTAAGTTACAGTCTTATTCTAAAATTGATTAAATTGTTTTCCCCCTTCATCAATCTACACAAAATACCCCATAATGACAAAGCAAAAACTGGTTTTTAGAAATGTTTGCAAATGTATTCAAAATAAAAAAATTGAAATATTACATTTACGTAAGTATTCAGACCCTTTACTAAGTACTTTGTTAAAGCACATTTGGCAGCGATTACAGCCTCGAGTCTTCTTGGGTATGACGCTACAAGTTTGGAACAGCTGTATTTGGGGAGTTTCTCCCATTCTTCTCTGCAGATCCTCTCAAGCTCTGTCAAGTTGGATGGGGAGCGTCGCTGCACAGCTATTTTCAGGACTCTTCAGAGATGTTAGATCGGGTTCAAGTCCGGGCTCTGGCTGGGCCACTCAAGGACATTCAGATACTTGTCCCGAAGCCAATCCTGAGTTGTCTTGGCTGTATGCTTAGGGTTGTTGTCCTGTTGGAAGGTGAACCTTCGCCCCAGTCTGAGGTCCTGAACGCTCTGGAGCAGGTCCTCATCAAAGACTTCTCTGTACTTTGCTCTGTTCATCTTCGCCTCAATCCTGACTAGTCTCCCAGTCCCTGCCGCTGAAAAACATCCCCACAGCATGATGCTACCACCACCATGCTTCACCGAAGGGATGGTGCCAGGTTTCCTCCAGATGTGACGCTTGGCATTCAGGCCAAAGAGTTCAGTCTTGGTTTTATCAGACTAGAGAATCTTGTTTCTCATGGTCTGAGAGTCTTTAGGTGCATTTTGGCAAACTCCAAGCGGGCTGTCATGTGCCTTTTACTGAGAAGTGGCTTCCGTCTGGCCACTCTACCGTAAATGCCTAATTGGTGGAGTGCTTCAGAGATGGTTGTCCTTCTGGAAGGTTCTCCCATCTCCACAGAGGAACTCTAGAGCTCTGTCAGAGTGACCATCGGGTTCTTGGTCACCTCCCTGACCAAGGCCCTTCTACCCCGATTGCTCAGTTTGGCCGGGCGGCCAGCTCTTTAAGAATGATGGAGGCTACTGGGTTCTTGGGGACCTGATAGAAGAATTTGGTAATGACTAATTATTAATGACTAATTATTACACCCCGAAACTGTGTGAAATGTGTTAGAATCATAAGACCATAATCTGATAATGTGTGTAGCTTAGTTAGAAGTACAATGAGGCAGTCAGAATATTGTGAGCGATAACTATGTATGGGTGTCACGGATTCAGCCGAGGCTGCTCCTCCTCCTTGCTCGGGCAGGCTTCGGCGTTCGTCGTCCCCGGAGTACTAGCTACTGCCGATCGATGTTTCGGTGTTTGTCTTGTTTGGTCTTTATCGTTTACACCTGTTTCCCATTATGATGGATTGTATTCCCTATATTACCCCCTGTGTCTCATTGGTTATTGCGTGTGATTGTTATTTGTCATTCCGGCAGTTGCTTTGGTGTACGGGTTATTGTGTTTTCCTCCCTGTTTGGAGGTTTTTGGTTTTTGCACTATATTTACTGTGTTCAGTAAAAGTACGTTACCAGCCGCTCTGTGTCCTGTGTTTGACTTCGCTTTGATGGTGTATATTGATGACGTTCTAATATACTCCGCTACACGAGCCGACAGGTAGCAGCTCCCATCACCTCCCTGCTAAAGGGGGCCCGGTGCGTCTGCAGTGGTCGGCTGAGGCGGACAGGGCATTTAGACATCTGAAGGACCTGTTCACCTCGGCTCCGGTGCTGGCACATCCGGATCCCTCTTTGGCGTTCCAAGTTGAGGTGGATGCGTCCGAGGCGGGGATCGGTGCTATACTGTCTCAGCGCTCGGGTACGCCACCAAAACTCCGCCCCTGTGCTTTCTATTCTAAGAAGCTCAGTCCGGTGGAGCGCAATTATGACGTGGGGGACAGGGAGCTGCTGGCAGTGGTTCAAGCCCTGAAGGTGTGGAGGCATTGGCTTGAGGGGGCTAAACACCCTTTTCTCATTCTGACTGACCATCGTAACCTGGAGTACATCCGGGCAGCGAGGAGACTGAACCCTCGCCAGGCTAGGTGGGCCATGTTTCTTACCTGATTTGTATTTAAGCTCACCTATAGACCAGGGTCACAGAATGCTAAGGCAGACGCCCTGTCCCGACGATATGACACAGAGGAGAGGTCCATTGAGCCCACTCCCATACTTCCGGAGTCTTGTCTGGTGGCACCGGTGGTGTGGGAGGACGATGCGGACATCGAGTGGGCGTTACGTGCCGACCCTACTCCCCCACAGTGTCCAGAGGGACGGAAGTACGTGCCACTCGAGGTTCGTGATCGACTGATATATTGGGCTCACACGTCACCCTCCTCTGGTCATCCTGGTAAGTAATGGGCAGGTGGAGAGAGTGAACCAGGATGTGGGTAGGTTTCTGAGGTCCTATTGCCAGGACCGGCAGGAGGAGTGGTCAGGGTATATCCCCTGGGCAGAGATAGCCCAAAACTCACTCCGCCACTCCTCCACTAATCTTACGCCTTTTCAGTGTGTGCTGGGTTATCAGCCGGTCCTGGCACCCTGGCATCAGAGCCAGATCGAAGCCCCTGCGGTGGATGAGTGGTTTCGGCGCTCGGAAGAAACATGGAATGCTGGGCATGTCCATCTGCAGCGGGCTATCAGGCGGCAAATGGTGAGCGCCGATCGCCACCGCAGTGAGGCTCCGGTGTATGCACCGGGAGATCGGGTCTGGCTCTTGACCCGAAACCTGCCCCTTCGCCTTCGCGGTTTGTGGGGCCATTTAATATCCTGAGGAGATTGAACAAGGTATGTTATAGGTTACAACTGCCCATTAAATACCGCATTAACCCCTCGTTCCATGTGTCTCTCCTCAGGCCGGTGGTAGCTGGTCCACTCCAGGAGAATGAGGTACGAGAGGCTCCTCCGCCCCCACTAGACATCGAGGGGGCTCCGGCGTACTCAGTCCGTTCCATCTTGGATTTGAGGCGTCGGATGGGGGGTCTGTAGTATCTCATGGAGTGAGAGGGGTACGGTCCGGAGGAACGGTGCTGGGTCCCTAGGAGGGACATCCTAGATCCCTCCCTGTTGAGGATTTCCACTGGAGTCATCCGACTCGCCCTGCTCTGCGTCCTCCTGGCCGGGGTCGGCGCACGGCTGGGGCCGCGCGTCAAGGGGGGGGTACTGTCACGGATTCAGCCGAGGCTGCTCCTCCTCCTTGCTCGGGCAGGCTTCGGCGTTCGTCGTCCCCGGAGTACTAGCTACTGCCGATCGATGTTTCGGTGTTTGTCTTGTTTGGTCTTTATTGTTTACACCTGTTTCCCATTATGTTGTATTGTATTCCCTATATTACCCCCTGTCTCTCATTGGTTATTGTGTGTGATTGTTCTTTGTCATTCCGGCAGTTGCTTTGGTGTACGGGTTATTGTGTTTTCCTTCCTGTTTGGAGGTTTGTTGTTTTTGTACTATATATACTGTGTTCAGTAAAAGTACGTTGCCAGCCGCTCTGTGTCCTGCGTTTGACTTCGCTGACCGCATACACGTCGCGTGACAATGGGAGTAGAGAGAAAATGCAGCCTGCCCGAGCAAGGAGTAGACTATGATAAGAACATGTGTGTGTATGTGTGACCTGATGATCAGGAGAGCAGAGGATAACCACATGAGCTAAACCCAGGTGAGTTTACAAGATGTGTACAGAGGAAAAATACAGCCTGCCTAAAGCGGGGTGGGATTTTTCCTCTGACGTGTGTGTATAGAAATATTGTACGTCCATTTTGTGGCAGAGCGCTCTCATGAATAAAGGCTGACCATTGCAGAAAGGGGTCTTTGTTTAATTTATTTAAACTAGAGATTTACACCTCTGGGAATTATTCAAAGATTTAAGAAGTAGTTGACTTCAACCATTGAGATAACAAAATTCTCATGACAGGACCTTCAATGCTGCAGAAATGTTTTGGTACCCTTCCCCAGAACACAATCCTGTCTCAGAGCTCTATGGACAATTCATTCGACCTCATGGCTTGGTTTTTGCTCTGACATGCACTGTCAACTGTGGGACCTTAGACAGGTGTGTGCCTTTCCAAATCATGTCCAATCAATTGAATTTACCACAGGTGGACTCCAATCAAAGTTGTAGAAACATCTCAAGGATGATCAATGGAAACAGGATGCACATGAGCTACATTTCGAGTCTTATAGCAAAGAGTCTTAATACTTATGTAAATAAGGTATTTCTGTTTTTTATATTTAATACATTTGCAATCTAAAAACCTGTTTTCGCTTTGTCATTATGGGATATTGTGCGTAGATTGATGAGGAAAAATGTGTTTTTACTCAATTTTAGAGTAATGCTGTACCGTAACAAAATTTGGAAAAAGTAAATGAGTCTGAAAACTTTCCGAATGCACTGTACTTCTTCATTGGACCCTTCATCTGACTTTAGTTTTATTTGATGTTTAGGATAATGGTTTGTTGGGCACAGTGCTTGACTTGGACTGAAATAAGTTCCGGTACTCATTTTGAGTGCCGGTGCTGCTTAGATTTAGGTGCAGGAGCTCCACAATACTTTTGAGCTAATATTCTATAAGAGGAACAGGAGCTCAAGCAGTAGAACATTTGAGGTGCCGGTAAACAGCTCTGGTGAGCTCCTGTCCAAGCCAAGCACTGGTTGAGGAACTATTTTTTATTTTATTTTTTATGATGAGATTTTGTTGGGAAACTATTTTGTGTGGTGGATAATTACCTGTGTGACTCTCTCCAGCTGAGTCTGCACCAACACCAGCTCCTGTTTGCTGCCCTGCAGCCGGGACTTGAGTCTCTCATTGGTAGACAAGGCCTCCTCGTACATCTGCGATACACAGGATCCCACAGCAAACACAGACCCAGAACATCATAACATGCCACATAATTTGACTTAAGTAATCAACCAGTTGTGTTTTTATGTAGCCTGATCTACAATTCAAATCCAAGTTTATTTGTCATATACACAGAATACAGCAGGGTGTACACAGTGAAATGAAATGCTTACTTGCGAGCTACCTCTCAACAGTGCAGTGAAATACCAAGTGAATATATATTTTTTTTAAATACCAGCAGTGGGGATTTTGGGTTCCACTGTACTTGAACCCACAGTCATAAGGGCTACATAACACTGTCATTATCATGACATAACAGATTCATAACAGATCATTAGCTACCTACGCCAATTTTTCTAGCTTTAAGAAACTGTTAGTTAATTTTGCATTACAGGTTACCTTCTTATAGTCAGTGCATCCTGCCTCTTCCTCAGCTTTTTTTCGCGCGGCCATTCTGTTTTCCCTGCGAGCGTCATAGGCCTCTCGGTCGTAAGCACCAGACGAGTCCAGTCTGAGGGTAAGATAGCACAGCTGAACCTAAAACTACTGCACTGTGTCAGAGCTTAATCATCAATGTACCTTTGACCCTAAATGTAATAACAATCAGCTGCAATTGAGGCCTGAGTGACCAATGGCTGTTAGGATATGTTTCAATGCCTGATAGTGAAAATCGTAAGCCCTCCTGTGTCTTTTGATGAAGTGAATTGAGTTTAAAGCTTACCTGGACACTCTTTCATGCTGAAAACAAACAAAGAAGATATGTCACTTACAAAATGCATAGAACATCGGTCGTTTTGGATGATCTGCAACACTATGGGGTAATGTCTTCTGACAGCAGAGCTTTGTAAATGATTTTGTGTCCTGTATGCATAAGGATTCTGTGCTGTAATTCTATTTTTCATTTTCAGCTCACATGGCTAGGAAAGCCCCCTGGCCATAGTTATGAACTCTCAGAGAATACTTAAACCTTCACACTGTCCTGCAGCCAAGCATGTACCTATCAGCAGAGAGCATCTTGGGATGAAACTCGACACTCACGCCAAGTTAGAGAAGGACAGTGGAAACAGTCACATGTACAAACTGAGACCCAGAGATAAAACTAAACACATCCAAAAAAGGTAATAACTATGGCAGCAGCTTGGGAATCTTAATGGTTATTGCATGCTGAAGGGTTGGAGGCAGGGGATACGAGTCTGTTTTTAAAGAGACACTCCCACAAAAATGTTGGCAATGGCATTAATGTTCGAGTCATTTGTCACTTGAGTCACTTGCCTTGAGGATTTATTTCAGTAGAAGAGTTGAAAAGGTTATTCCTGATACATTGCAAGATTCAATACAATACAATACTATAGAATGGAATAGGAGACGTGTTCCACTGTAGACATAATCATTCCCGCTAGAAAATATCCTCAGTGATTCACTGACAGTATTTGAGTCAGCCCCTGACCTTTGTGTTCTCAGGCTGCAGTGGACAGCCTGCTTCCATTTCCAAGCCCATGCTGCTTTTCCATGTGACCAGGGAACCACGACGGACAAGCACTTTGTCAGGCAATTACAAGCGTTCAGTCCTCAAAGCCAAACATTTATGCTTTTACGCCACGGTATGCAACAGTGAGCAAGAGTGAAGGCATTAAAACATTGTTTAACATTGTGATATCCAGAAATGACGTCAATTGATTTAGTTAACAATGTACGATTATATAAATGTTTTCTTGTTTTTTTTGCGCACTTGCCTATTATTGCTCTCAAGAATAAAAGAGACTTGAATTGAAGTCTGGAAAACAGACTTAAGGTCATACACACAGACATAAGGACTCACTGCAGTGTTTAGACATTACACACCAAGTAAGGCTCTATGGGGACGGATATAAATTAACCTGAATCGTTCAAGGGGCTCTAGAGGAGGGTTCATGTATAAACATTCAGGAATGGTTCCCGTCAGACATCAACAAGCACTCAGGATGTTCTCTCTCCGTCTGTGTCAACACTGTCAGCTCTCTCTTATTAAAGAGTCTGTCTTTGTGTTTGGAACCATTGTAAGTTTTCATTAACAAGGCTTACCTCCTGAAGCTCTGCTTGGATCTGGCACTGGGAGAGGTTGGGCTGTGATGGAGAGGGCCTGCTCTGAGTCTAACATGCCTCAATGAAGCCTTCCACCATGACCAGACCCAGCCAGGAATAACCCCTATAATATCTAACCCTTCCACCATGACCAACCCAGCCAGGAATAACCCCTATAAAATCTAACCCTTCCACCATGACCAGACCCAGCCAGGAATAACCCCTATAATATCTAACCCTTCCACCATGACCAGACCCAGCCAGGAATAACCCCTATAATATCTAACCCTTCCACCATGACCAACCCAGTCAGGAATAACCCCTATAATATCTAACCCTTCCACCGTGACCAACCCAGTCAGGAATAACCCCTATAATATCTAACCCTTCCACCATGACCAACCCAGTCAGGAATAACCCCTATAATATCTAACCCTTCCACCATGACCAACACAGTCAGGAATAACCCTTATAATATATAACCCTTCCACCATAACCTGACCCAGCCAGGAATAACCCCTAGATTATCTAACCCTTCCACCATGACCAACCCAGTCAGGAATAACCCCTATAATATCTAACCATTCCACCATGACCAGACCCAGCCAGGAAAAACCCCTTAATATCTTACCCCTAGGCACTTCATGTAGATCAAAAAGAGTTGGATTGGTGTAAACAAATGTGGACCTGGGTAGGGTCCTTACACCTGATCATCGATAGTGCATGTGGGCTAGAGGTGTGGACAGTATCCTACTCTGAGATCAGGGACTTCTCTGCGAGCCTTCCAAGAGATCGTGCTATCTCTCCTCTCTCTCTCCTCTCGCTCTCTATCCCCTCTCTTCCCTCTCCTCTCTCTCTCTTCTCTCTCGTCCTCCTCTCTTTCTCTCTCTCCTCTCTCTCTTCTCTCTCTCCCCTCCCTCTCTCTCTCTCTAATCTCCTCTCTCTCTCTCTCATCATCTCCTCCTCTCTCTCTCTCACTCTCCTCTCTCTCTCTCTCTCTATATATATATATATTCCAGTATCACTGCATGAGTAAACAGTTGCGTTTTCCCGGCTGGGAACATACTGAGTCATGTCCAGAGTGATATCAGGAGGACCACTTGAAAGCATTCCTGTCAAGGGTTTGATCTAGTTGATCCTGTCAGATAACTATCTTCAATGCCAATGAGAGTTTTATATACGCTACCAGTCAAAAGTTTGGACACACCTACTTTCTAAATGTTTACTATTTTCTACATTGTAGAATAACAGTGAAGACATCCAAACTATGAAATAACACATATGGAATCATGTAGTAACCAAAAAAGTGTTAAACAAATCAAAATATATATTTATATTTGAGATTCTTCAAAGTAGCCACCCTTTGCCTTGATGACAGCTGTGCACACTCTTGGCATTCTCTCAACCAGCTTCATGAGGTAGTCACCTGGAATGCATTTCAATTAACAGGTGTGCCTTGTTAAAAGTTAATTTGTGGAATTTCTTTCCTTCTTAATGCATTTGAGCCAATCAGTTGTGTTGTGACAAGTTAGGGTTGGTATACAGAAGATATTCATATTATGGATATAGTCCATATTATGGCAAGAACAGCTCAAATAAGCAAAGAGAAACGGCAGTCCATCATTACTTTAAGACATGAAGGTCAGTCAATCCGGAAAATGTCAAGAACTTTGAAAGTTGCTTCAAGTGCAGTCGCAAAAACCATCAAGCGCTATGATGAAACTTGCTCTCATGAGGACCACCACAGGAAAGGAAGACACAGAGACCCAGAGTTACCTCTGCTGCAAAGGATAACTTCATTAGAGTTACCAGCCTCAGAAATCGGCAGTTAACTGCACCTCAGATTCCAGGCCAAATAAATGCTTCACAGAGCTCAAGTAACAGACACATCTCAACATCAACTGTTCAGAGGAGACCGCGTGAATCAGGCCTTCATGGTCGAATTGCTGCAAAGAAACCACTACTAAAGGACACCATTAAGAAGAAGAGACTTGCTTGGGCCAAGAAACACGAGCAATGGACATTAAACCGGTGGAAATCTGTCCTTTGGTCTGATGAGTCCAAATTTGAGATTTTTGGTTCCAACCACAGTGTCTTTGTGAGATGCAGAGTAGGTGAACGGATGATCTCCGCATGTGTAGTTCCCACTGTGAAGCATGGAGGAGGAGGTGTGATGGTGTGGGGGTGCTTTGCTGTTGAAACTGTTCTGGTGATTTAATTTAGAATTCAAGGCACACTTAACCAGCATTGCTACCACAGTATTCTGCAGCGATACGCCAACCCATCTGGTTTGCGCTTATTGGGACTATCGTTTGTTTTTCAACAGGACAATAACCCAAAACACACCTCAAGGCTGTTTAAGGGCTATTTGACCAAGAAGGGTAGAGTGATGGAGTGCTGCATCAGATGACCTAGGCCGCCACCAAGCACCCGGCCCTCAACCCAATTGAGATGGTTTTGGATGAGTTTGGACCGCAAGAGTGAAGGAAAAGCAGTCAACAAGTGCTCAGTAATTAGGTGGGAACTCCTTCAAAACTGTTTGGGAAAAGCATTCCAGGTGACTACCTCATGAAGCTGGTTGAGAGAATGCCAAGAGTGTGGCAAAGCTGTCCAAGGAAGGGTGGTTGAAAGACTGTCAAAAATTTGATTGCTGGTTGAGAGCATGGCCAAGAGTGTGCAAAGGCTGTTCATCAAGGCAAAGGGTGAGCTACTTTGAAGAATCTCCAAATCTAAAGATATTTTGATTTGTTTAAAGCCTTTTTTGGTTTACTACATGATTCCATATGTGTTCATTTAATAGTGGTTGATGTATTCACTATTATTCTCAATGTAGAAAATAGTAAAAATGAAGAAAAATCCTTGAATGAGTAGGTGTGTCCAAACGTTTGACTGGTACTGTATGTCAGCTGTCTCTTTTGTTATTTCGTTCAGTTACACAGGACTCCTCTCAGTCAAATTCCGAGGCAACTTTCTGCCTTATGAAAAAATTGCATGGAACTGATGATGTCATGGAAACTCAAAAGTTATCTGACACTTAATATGACCCGTCGTGGGAGGAAAATGTTGAGGCTGTATTGGACGGATACTGGACCTCACAAAGAGAGAGAGAGAGAGAGAGAGAGAGAGAGAGAGAGAGAGAGAGAGAGAGAGAGAGAGAGAGAGAGAGAGAGAGATAGCTTGTGTATGAGTACACTGTGTATGTTTAATGTGTGCTACAATGATATTTGAATAGTTACATCCATGAGCTGATTCTGAAACTTCATTTTCCTTTAGTCAAATTTACTCCTACATAAGCCACTTGGCTCAAGAGCTAATCACCATCGGTCACTACAATCTTCATGAAACAATTACAATGGTTTCAATGTTGGAGTGATGAGTTGAGGGTTAAACAAAGATCATGAAATCTAAAAGCATGAACAGTATGCCATAACACCTATGGTATTAGACCTAGTGCTTGGCTAGCCTGGAACGCTCCAAACCAATGGTTAAAGTCAAAAGTCAAGCATGGCATTTTATCTGATCCACAGCTTTTTTACAGCACATGGCAATGTTTTCAAACAGCAGCCTAGGCGTCTCCTTGTTATTGCCCATAGGAAAGATAAGTAATGTGTTCTTACTTTGAGGCTTCTGGAGGTTTGCGAGGGTTTAGCGGGAGATGAGTCAGTGGATGACTTTCTCGTGCGTGGCTGATCCTTTGCGTTGCGGGGGGAGAGATGAGATGACATCGCTGCAGGCTACTCTCCACAGCATGAGTTTCAAGTGGGGTCCAACCAACTTGATTCCAAAACACTACTGCATAAACAATCCAGTGACACACAGTTAAAATCCCTGTGATGTGAATGAAGGTGGTGAAGGGACAGAGCCAGAAGTGTGATCAAATCAATAGAGATCTAATGATACAGAAATAGCTGTGGTCAGGAGTGGGATCTATCTTCAGGTGATGTTGAGTGATCCTGAGATGAGATGAATGGCGGGTGAGTGAGTAGCAGAAGTGAGGGAGCTGTGGAGGAGGTAGAGGGTGGGCGCTGGGCGGTGCTGTAGACTGTATGGGGAGGGACACTGCCTGGGACTTGACAGCAGTGCCGCTAATGAGAGCACTCTCTGGACTGTGGTGATTCAACAAAAATGAAAACATCAAAGCAAAGCACTCAACTCTCATTCTGCATGACAGTCTCTCGCTCTCGCTCTCTCTCTTTCTGCCTCAGTCTCTCTTTCCCACTCTCTCTCTAATCACCCTTTGGTCTGAGCTGTGGACTAATATGGATTTGTTGGACATTGGAATTTGTTATGAAGATTATAAATTTTTTTCTTCAGTCTTTTTAAAATATTTGACAGCCTCACAAAAATGGCTGCTAGTATTCCTTTGTTAGTGTTGGCATAATGCTAAAGCACAGCCAAACATTTAATGAGAATGATTATAAACATGATATCACACAGTGGCCAGCAGGGGTCCACTTAGTACCATACAGTAGACTACAAACTAAATGAGGAGGGAGAGAGAGAAGGGGTAGGAGGGGATCTGGAGGAGAGAAGGGGGTTAGGATGGGATCTGGAGAGAGGGGGGGGGGGGGGGGGGGGGGGTAGTAGGGGATCTGGAGAGATGGGGGGTAGGAGGGGATCTGGAGAGAGGTGGGGTAGGAGGGGATCTGGAGAGGGGGGTAGGAGGGGATCTGGAGGGGGGGGGGGGGGGGTAAGAGGGGATCTGGAGAGAAGAGGGTAGGAGGAGATCTAGAGGGGGTAGGGGGGGCTGGAGAGAGGGGGGGTAGGAGGGGATCTGGAGAAAGGGAGAGAGAAGGGGTAGGAGGGAATCTGGAGAGAGGGAGAGGGAAGGGGTAGGAGGGGATCTGGAGAGGGGGGGGGTAGGAGGGGATCTGGAGAGAGGAGGGTAGGAGGGGATGTGGAGAGAGGGAGAGAGGGGGGTAGAAGGAGATTATGAAAACAACAGGAAGTCATTTTGGCTGGGGCTCATGATCTCTACTTCCTTTGATTAGTCAGTGGTCAGTGCCTGTCTAAGAACAACTTCTGGCTTCAGCATGCTATAAATACCAAAGACATACCTTATGGACAAATAATCACTATCTTCACTGAAATGAGCATAATATTACAGGTGATAATAGCTGAAATTATATTTCTGCCCTGAAAAATGATATCAAGCCATATAGCTATCTCTACCTAATCTCTTGTGGACATGATTACACAAGATTTTTGTCCTGGGTTAACCGAGATTAATATCTACCTAATTTCTTTGCTCAGACCAATTGAAAAGTGATATTTACAGCAATACCACTCCACAAGATTAATCAAGAAAAACGGTGTTCATCGCAGTTTAACCACACCCATCAGGTTGGTAATCTATATTGTCTAAACAGTATATGAAAATCATCTCCTGGTAAGATTTTACTACCAGAACTCCTAAAACAATACTCACAAGATGACATTATCCTGGGTGATAACATCAGAACTGTATGGACAATTCTCGGTCACACTTTGTCACACAGTGACGATGAGACACTAACCTGTAGACACTGGCACCACCTGGTGGCATTATACAAAGTTTCCAAAGAGCTCAGAAAAAGCCTGGTGGTAAAAGAATAGCATGTCTAGTACCAGACAGGGGAAACTCCAACCACATGGACAGCATGTCCAGTACCAGACAAGGGAAACTCCAACCACATGGACAGCATGTCTAGTACCAGACAAGGTAAACTCTAACCACATGGACAGCATGTCCAGTACCAGACAAGGGAAACTCCAACCACATGGACAGCATGTCTAGTACCAGACAGGGGAAACTCCAACCACATGGACAGCATGTCCAGTACCAGACAAGGTAAACTCTAACCACATGGACAGCATGTCCAGTACCAGACAAGGGAAACTCCAACCACATGGACAGCATGTCTAGTACCAGACAGGGGAAACTCCAACCACATGGACAGCATGTCCAGTACCAGACAGGGGAAACTCCAACCACATGGACAGCATGTCTAGTACCAGACAAGGTAAACTCCAACCACATGGACAGCATGTCCAGTACCAGACAGGGGAAACTCCAACCACATGTACAGCATGTCCAGTACCAGACAGGGGAAACTCCAACCACATGGACAGCATGTCCAGTACCAGACAGGGGAAACTCCAACCACATGTACAGCATGTCCAGTACCAGACAGGGGAAACTCCAACCACATGGACAGCATGTCCAGTGCAGGGCTATACTGTTCTCACAGCTATAGGCTAAGCCAACACCATAAATAACCTTTGGGGAGAGGTTATGAGAAGGTGTTTTGTTACAGACCACATTACGGTCAAGATTTCATTCCATTCTCTTTTAGACAGAGGCAAGCTTTCAGTTGCTCGCATAAATGAACTAAAACCATGAGCTGAAGAATGACATTTTCACAGCTTTCTTGTAAATTGAGGTTTACATCATTGTTAGGCTAATAACTAACTACAACAAATAAGAGGACAGAAGCAGCGAGGTAAAGAAAAATGTAGAAACTTTTTTATTACAAAAGTACATCAATGACATTTGTGATGCACTTTGCAGGTTTGAAAATGTCACATCTATAACATGACGATTTTTTTCAGAAATAAAAAGAGGTCCCATAGATCTTTAAATAATACCCGCTACTGCATGTAGGCTAGGTCAATAATATGGACAGTTAAGAAAATGTATTTATATCAATCAAGACCAAATAATCACACACATTTTGATTGACAACTTTTTAGTAAGGACATTTACAACTGAAACATTATCAAATAAAGTTCATAACCAAGCTGGTAAGTGTTTGGACCTTCTGTGGGTTTGCCAACAAATGGGAAAGTAGCTTTTGTCCCTCATCTTAAAAACTGATGTCCGAAATTCATATATAAGAAGAGAAGTGAAAACCTCAGACTGCTTCCTTAGGTACAGACTACTGTTAACAGTTGGCACTGACACAGTCTTTATTTTTAACAGAAGTATTCCCGTGGGTGTGGGTCTTGAGGCCTGGATCTTCCATAAGCATGTGTCTTTCTCTTTAGAAATATATCTTCAATATTTCCATAAGACCTCACCATTTTAGTCAAATGTAATTTTATTTTTGGCAATGAAGTAAAGTGTGATTAATTAAAAAGGAAACGTTCGCTTGCTCACCATTAAAGACATACTGTATTATTATGTTATTCAAGCAACTATTAAAAACTTGACATTTCGGCCTTCATCAATGACTTTCATCAGAAATGTTATACAGAGGGAATGGACATGTACATATAAGCCCCTACGTCTTAATTTTGTCAGGCTTTTAATAGTTGCTTAAATAAAATAATATGTTTTTAATGGTGTTGCGCCCTTTTCAATGATGATCACATTTTTGTTGTTGCACCACTCCTCATGTTGATTGAGTGCCCTCCATTTCTTTCAATACAGTAAAGTTTCAATTGCAAAAATGTCTGCTCTAGCCATACCAGAGTCAGCAACAAGTGCCTAAACCTTCTCCTCCTCCTACCATTGCTCCTCAGGAGACCAGTCCTCTGGGAAGTCATCGTCATCATCAATCTCCTCCTCCTCTTCCTCTGGCTCTTCCTTTGGCTGCTCCTCCTCCTCCTCCTCCTCCTCCCCTATCTCCTCCTCCTCTTCCTCTGGCTCTTCCTTTGGCTGCTCCTCCTCCTCCTCCTCCTCCCCAATTTCCTCCTCCAGTTGCTCTTCTGTGACACCGTCTTCCAATGACTCCACGGCAACTAGCCATTCTTCTGGCTCTTCGGTCACTTCCTCTTTCACTGACTCCTCCTGCTCCATTTCCTCCTCTTCAGCTTCCTGTTCCACTGCTTCCTCAGTAACTTCCTCCTCCTCAGCTTCCTGTTTCACTGCTCCCTCAGTAACGTCCTCCTCCTCAGCTTCCTGTTCCATCTCTTCCTCAGTAACACCCTCCTCCTCAGCGTCCTGTTCCACTGCCTCCTCAGTAACGTCCCCATCTTCAGCTTCCTGTTCCACTGCCTCCTCAGTAACGTCCTCCTCTACCTCCTCCTCAGCAGGTTCTTCCTCTGTTACCTCCTGCTCCTCTTCCGCCATTTCCGAGGCCTCTTCAGCCTCTGAGTCTACTTCCTCTTGGCTGAGTGGACCACCATTCACCAGCTAGAACACAGAGAACAATCAGTACTGTACATTCAAGAGGACACTCGAGCATGGGTCATCCTGTATGGTGTCTGAAAGAGTTAATCATTTATAATGCGCCTCTCAGATATGAGTCATATATTAGCTCAATATTTTCAACCCTTTGTCGATAAAAGTATTTGCTTTTCTCTGACTACGCTAGTTTGGTGTTTACAGAACAGAGTGATCTATTAAGTCAACCTGAATTTATACAATACTTGACTAACTTACTGTATGTGTCAGAAAGCAGATACAATTGTTTTTGTAAGAGTACTGTGTGTAAGTGTACACTATAAGCCTCAAAACCATGATATGTTCTTTCATAAAACAATTTAGAAGATGAGGAATACTTTATTGTACATTTTCCTTACAGTCCACGGAAATAGAAATATAATAATTAGCTGTGGTGGAAGTGGGGCCTACCTGGCTGTGGACAGCCTCCAGCTGCTTCTTGAGGTGGGAGTGCAGACGCTGGGAGCTGACGTGCTGCTCATCCAGGGTCCTGGTCACTAACTGCAGCTGCTGCTCCAGAGCCCGGGCCTTCTTGGCCTGCCATGCCTCCAGCAACTCCCTGAAACACACAGACAGATAGAGACTCAATGAACCATAGCATATTAGAATCAACATATGGACTGGTATATTTTTTCTAAGCATGTGACTTGACCAAGAAAAACCCTGCGTCTGTCAGGAAAAGCTCCTGCCTATAGCCATGACAAATACAGTACAGCCATCAAATAATTTACTTTAATACAACTTTCACTATTCATACAGCTAGGGAGTGAGTTCATGCATAAAGTTAATCATAATATTCACAAAAACCAAGCTTACTTGATTTGACCCACTTCCTGGTGGTTGTTATGTAGCACTACCCTGTGAAGACTCAGAAACTCTCTTAGTTCCCTCTGCTCAGTGACCTGTCCCTCCAGCTGTGACGGCAAGCCGTCCACCGTGGACACCTGCTTGTCCAGCCTGGATTTGATGTTGTCCACCATGCTGGTGAGCCCCGACACGCTCACCGCTAGCGCCGAGTTGGAGCTCGAAATGGCCGCCACGCTCTCCTTGACCGACTCCAAGTCGTTGCTCTTGTTCTTTATCATGGCCTGCAGGGCTGCGGAGGAGACGGCTACCTGCTGGAACTCAGCCAGCCTGGTGTTCATCTCATTGTGGAGCGCCCACACCTGGGATTTGAGGTCGATGCTCTTCAACTGCTCTGACGTTGCCAGGGTAATCTCCACCTTCTGCTGGGCCTGTTTCTGAGCTGCCTCCAAAGCCAGTATCCTCTCCTCGATCAGACCTCCTGAGCGCATCTTGGCATGGTTAAAAAACAGATATCGGTTAAAGCTTGTGTTGCAAGGAAACCAGGTATAATCTTTATAGCAAATTTAGATAAAGCATTTGATACGTCTAGAATCTGTGCCCGGATTTCTTCAACTTTGGAGAATCTCTCATAAAATGGGTAAAAGTCATATACCTTTATGTAAAATAATAAATAAAGGTTACTTCTCTGAGAACTTTGAATTGTCAAGTGACGTAAAACAAGGTTGCCATCTGCCACCATACCTATTTATTATGGCCATTGAATTGTTAGCTTTAAAAATCAGATCTATTGATAACATTAAGGGAATAGAGACAAAAGTATCAATGGAACAGAAATGGCACTCCACCAAACTGGAAGTCTTCCGACTAGCTTGGAAAGACAGTACCGAAGAGCCCTCACTGCTGCTCGATCATCCTATTTTTCCAACCTAATTGAGGAGAATAAGAACAATCACCCCCCAAAAAATGTATACTGTTGCAAAGCAAACTAAAAAGCAGCATTCAACAAGAGAGGATGTCTTTCACTTCAGCAGTGATAAATTCATGAACTTCTTCGCTGAAAAGATCATGATCATTAGAAAGCATTACGGACTCCTCTTTGAATCTGCATATTTCTCCAAAGCTCAGTTGTCCTGAGTCTGCACATAACTGCCAGGACCTAGGATCAATGGAGACACTCAAGTTTTGTAATCCTGTATCTCTTGACACATTCATGAAAATAGTAATGGCCTCTAAACCCTCAAGCTGCATACTGGACCATATTCCAACTAAACGACTGAAATAACTACTTCCTGTGCTTGGCCCTCCTATGTTGAACATAATAAATGGTTCCCTATCTACCAGATGTGTACCAAACTCACTAAAAGTGGCAGTAACAAAGCTTCTCTTGAAAAAGCCAAACCTTGACCCGGAAAATGTAAAAAAACGATCGGACTATATCGAATCTCCCATTCCTCACAAAACAAATGGAAAAATGTGTTGCGCAGCAACGCACTGCCTTCCTGAAGACAAATAATGTATACGAAATGCTTCAGTCTGGTTTTAGACTCCATCATAACACTGAGACTGCACTCGTGAATGTGGTAAATGACCTTTTAATGGCATCAGACCAACGCTCTGCATCTGTCCTCGTGCTCCTAGACCTTAGTGCTGCTTTGATACCATCGATCACCACATTCTTTTGGAGAGATTAGAAACCCTAATTGGTCTACACGGACAAGTTCTTGCCTGGTTTAGATCTTATCTGTCAGAAAGATATCAGATCGTCTCTGTGGATGGTTTGTCCTCTGACAAACCAATTGGACGTTTCAGCGTTCCTCTAGGTTCTGTTTTAGGACCACTATTGTTTTCACTATATATTCTACCTCTTGGTGATGTCATTTGGAAACACAATGTCAACTTTCACTGCTATGCGGACGACACACAGCTGTACATTTCGATGAAACATGGTGAAGCCCCAGAATTGCCTACCCTGGAAGCCTTTGTTTCAGACATAAGGAAGTGGGTGGCGGCAAATGTTTTACTTTTAAACTCAGACAAAACAGAGATGCTAATTCTAGGTCCCAAGAAACAAAGAGATTTGCTGTTGGATCTGACAATTAATCTTGATGGTTGTACAGTCTTCTCAAATAAAACTGTGAAGGACCTCTGTGTTACTCTGGACGCTGATCTCTCTTTTGACGAACATATCAAGAATATTTCAAGGACAGCTTTTTTTCCATCTTTGTAGCATTGCAAAAAACCTGAAACTTGTTGTCCAAAAATGATGCAGAAAGCTAATCCATGTTTTGTCACTTCTAGATTAGACTACTGCAGTGCTCTACTCTCCGGCTACCCGGATAAAGCACTAAATAAACTTCAGTTAGTGCTAAACACGGCTGCTAGAATCTTGACTAGAACCAAAACATTTGATCATATTACTCCAGTGCTAGCTTCCTGTTAAGGCTAGGGCTGAGTTCAATGGTTTACTGCTAACCTACAAAGCATTACATGGGCTTGCTCCTACCTATCTCTCCGATTTGGTCCTGCCGTACATATCTACACATACGCTACGGTCACAAGACACACGCCTGATAGAGGAATTTGTTAATGTGACTAAAAGTATTACACCCTGAAAATTATAGGAATGTGATAGAATCATGAAACTACATTAATTTTAGTTAGAAAAAAAACGAGGGCTTTGGCTTATTTTCATATCTATGCTAGCATGAAACAGGATGTGAAACTAGACACTGAAGAACATGTCCCCATCTTAGGTGTCTGTGTAGGATGCATGTTTACTCAGAAACAGACTATTTGGGTCTTAAAAAAAGTGTGCTTCTTCAAGCTTACAGAGAAATGTGATAGTTGCCTAAATATGGGCTAGGAGCTTTTTCATTGGCCCATTTAGGGGCGTAGTAAAGGTATAAAAACATTGTGCATTGTATGATTTTCAGAGCATTCTCAATGAATAAAGGCTGACCATTGCAGGATTGAGTCTTTGTTTAATTTATTTAAACTTGGGAATTATTCAAAGACTTAAGAAGTAGTTGACTTCAACCATTGAGATAACAAAATTATTGTGACAACGCCTCCTTATTGTCTTATAATTTCTAAGCAAACAGCTGGAGGCAGGGCTTTCTCCTATAGAGCAACATTTTTATGGAATGGTCTGCCGATCCATGTGAGAGACGCAGACTCGGTCTCGACCTTTAAGTCTTTACTGAAGACTCATCTCTTCAGTAGGTCCTATGATTGAGTGTAGTCTGGCCCAGGGGTGCGAAGGTGAATGGCAAGGCACTGGAGCAACGAACCGCCCTTGCTGTCTCTGCCTGGCCGGCTCCCCTCTCTCCACTGGGATTCTCTGCCTCTGACCCTTTACGGGGGCTGAGTTGCTGGCTTACTAGTGCTCTCCCATGCCGTCCCTAGGAGGGGTGCATCACTTGAGTGGGTTGAGTCACAGATGTGATCTTCTTGTCCTGTTTTTTGCTCCCTCGGGCTCGTGCAGTGGAGGAGATCTTCATGGGCTATACTCAGCCTTGTCTCAGGGTAGTAAGTTGGTGGTCTGTTGATATCCCTCTAGTGGTGTGGGGGCTGTGTTTTGGCACAGCGGGTGAGGTTATATCCTGCCTGGTTGGCCCTGTCCGGGGGTATCGTCGGACGGGGCCACAGTGTCCCCCGACCCACCCCTGTCTCAGCCTCCAGTATCTATGCTGCAATAATCTATGTGCTGGGGGATTAGGGTCAGTCTGTTATATCTGGTGTAATTCTCCTGTCTTATCTGGTGTCCTGTGTGAATTTAAGTATGCTCCCTCTAATTCTATCTCTCTCCCTCTCTCCCTCCCCTCCTGGAGGACCTGAGCCCTATGATCATGCCTCAGGACTACCTGGCCTGATGAATCCTGGCTGTCCCCAGTCCACCTGGTCGTGCTGCTGCTCCAGTTTCAACTGTTCTGCCTGCGGCTATGGAACCCTGGCCTGTTCACCGGACGGGCTACCTTGTCCCGGACCTGCTGTTTTCGACTCTCTCTCTCTCTACCGCACCTGCTGTCTCGACCTCTGAATGCTCGTCTATAAAAAGCCAACTGACATTTAATCCTGAGGTACTGACCTGTTGCACCCTCTACAACCCTGCTGGTCATCTATGAACGTTTGAACATCTTGTAGAACAATCTGGCCTTAATGGCCATGTACTCTTATAATCTCCACCCGGCACAGCCAGAAGAGGAATGGTCACCCCTCAGAGCCTGGTTCCTCTCTAGGTTTCTTCCTAGGTTCCTGCCTTTCTAGGGAGTTTTTCCTAGCCACTGTGCTTCTACATCTGCATTGCTTGCTGTTTGGGGTTTTAGGCTGGGTTTCTGTATAGCACTTTGTGACATCTGCGGATGTAAAAAGGGCTTCATAAATACATTTGATTGATTGATTTGATTGATGTACACCGATGATTCAAGTTCTCTTGAGTCCTCAATTTTCAACCTTGAAGGGCCTCATTGAGGACCTGGATAATTTCTACAGTTTCTCTGGATTAAAAACCAACTAGTGTACTATATTACAGATTGGGTCTCTAAAAGAGACAAACTTTAAATTGCCATGTGGTCTCCCGATTAAATGGGCGGATGGTGAAGTCGATGTGCTTTGTGTACATATCCCGGAAAAGTTCAGCGATCTTACAACTATTAACTTTGATCGAAAATTTTGCTAAATAGATAGAATCTTGAAACCGTGGAGAGGGAAACACCTATGCATTTCAGTGGAATGACAATGGATCCCTGTTTAAAGTGGACTCCTTTTTAAATGAAGTCATACAGAGTTGGCTACAATTTAAATTTCATCCTTCAGAAAAGGCAGAACTAATACTACAGCAAATAATGTGGCTAAAGTCCAATACACTGATAGATTGATTTTTTTTACATGAAGGATATTATACAGTTGGGAAAAAAAGTATTTAGTCAGCCACCAATTGTGCAGGTTTCCCACTTAAAAAGATGAGAGACGCCTGTAATTTTCATCATAGGTACACGTCAACTATGACAAACAAATTCAGGAAAAAAAATCCAGAAAATCACATTGTAGGATTTTTTATGAATTTATTTGCAAATTATGGTGGAAAATAAGTATTTGGTCACCTACAAACAAGCAAGATTTCTGGCTCTCACAGACCTGTAACTTGTTCTTTAAGAGGCTCCTCTGTCCTCCACTCGTTACCTGTATTAATGGCACCTGTTTGAACTTGTTATCAGTATAAAAGACACCTGTCCACAACCTCAAACAGTCACACTCCAAACTCCACTATGGCCAAGACCAAAGAGCTGTCAAAGGACACCAGAAACAAAATTGTAGACCTGCACCAGGCTGGGAAGACTGAATCTGCAAAAGGTAAGCAGCTTGATTTGAAGAAATCAACTGTGGGAGCAATTATTAGGAAATGGAAGACATACAAGACCACTGATAATATCCCTCGATCTGGGGCTCCACGCAAGATCTCACCCCGTGGGGTCAAAATGATCACAAG